CCAGACGGGCGCAGGAGCGGCTGTGGTGCTGGTAGCAGTGTGGGTGGCAGAAGTCAATGTGGGTACAGATGAAACTCTGCTGGTTGCACAGCAGGATCATGATCTGAGCCGAGAGAGAGGAGAGGAGGAAGTCAGTATGAAGGGACACACACACACACACACACACACACACACACGTATACAGCACATACATGGAGCCAGGACATGTTGCGGTGATAATTGTCCTCGGCTCCTCCTGAGCTCTGACCCTCTGGCTCTATGCTGGGCTCACTGGTGCTGAAGGGACTCCCTGCAACAACAACAACAAACAAGAACCATTTTAACCAGAGAGCGTTGAATCCACGGCCATTCGCGTTTTTGTAAAATGCTCCAAACAAATTGGACAAATCGTGACTTACCAATGTCGGTAACCGTGTCCCTGCTGTGCGTCTGTGACAACAAACCCTCTTCGTTCTCCGACTCGGAGTCCTGCCGGGACAGCTTGGTGCTCTTCAGGCTCCCTGCTCGACGTATGGACGACAGGGAGCCCCCTTTCTTCACACGGAAGCTGCGGGCGCCTTTAATCTGGAGCAGCCGAGATCCTCCGATACGAATCTTCCGGACGGGTGCTGGAGAGCACGGAGGAGGAGAGAGATGATGTACAATCATCAGTGAGTAATGAGATAGTAGAAGGGCCGTAATAAAAAAAAAAAGGGTGACGTCAGGCCTCACCCTGAGTTTCCTGCGGCTTCTTGTCGTCGCAGGTGGTGTCAGACTTTAGCGTGTGGCTGCTGCTGTTGAGCGAATCGTGTCCGTCCTCATCGTCGAGGATACCCGCGAAGCTGATCTTCCTCTCGTAGCGGTGGCGGCCAAGCTCGGGGTCTAAACGCAAGCGGCAGCTGTCGAGGTCCTGCAGCAAAGATGTGACCGCAGCAGTGTGACACATTCTGGTCGTATTTTTTTTTTTTACTTATGTGACTTTCATCTCTTTTTCACGAGACCTTTCTTGGTGTTTCTAACAAACGCTACTTGACAGCGGAGAGAGAACATACACACACTGAAACCATCCATATTTATATCACACTACTGACCACAAGTGGCTCGGTGCGTGGGCGTGGCAAGCAGGGAAAAGTCTCCCGCAGGAAGGTGGTGATTTCCAACAGGAGCTGGCAGGCGGCCATCTTCAGAGCGAAGGGGCAGCCGCACTTTGTAGGATTGACTGTGTCTTTAAGGTAGAAATATATACATACAAAACAAAACTGTTTAAAACATATAAACACGGGACATTGTATTACCTGCAAAATGATCATCTATGTTTTACATATGTGTGGTGTGATGTGGTTTATAGTTTTAGATAAAGTTAAACCCTTCTCTGACTCACTGTCATCTAAATAATCCTCTTCCTCGTCTTCTTTCCTCATCCTCCGTTTGGTCTCTTCATCATAGATGTAACCCAGGATGTTGGAGGGGCTCTCACTGTCAGAGTGACAGAGTTCGCTGAGCCTCGTTCCGATCGCCTGAGCAGATTAAAACATATAAAGATGTGCTTTCTTACGATCATCATTATTGTGTCACATGAACTAATGTGTGAAATCTTTAACTCACGTCTCCCCACTGGCAGAAATGTTTGGCAGCGTTCCACTGCAGTTTCTGGTTTCTTTTGTTGCCCACAATCGGCGACCGTCCCCTCGACAGGCCTCTCTTGGTGATGTTAACATGGTGGCCTTTCATCCACTCTGGCCAGTTGCCGCGGTTACAGCGCTGGACGAATCTGGCGCATTCGAGGAAGAGGGAGGCCCGAGCCACAACCGGAGCTTCCTGGAAGAAGCAGATGATTTGGAGCCGTGGATTTTGTGTAAACACGCAACAGCTGACGGTCACGACGAGATGAAACATACCAGGTCCAGAGCGGCAGCGAGGATGGAGGCGTCGGGGATGGTTCCCGGCTCACAGCAGTTCAAGAGAAACTGGAAGCGTTTCATACCCTGTCGTATGGCGCCCAAATTCACCACATTCTTGTTCTTCATGGCCTCCTGACTGGCTGCGAGGCGCTCCTGAAAACCATGAGGACCTGGAGGAGAGGATGGAGAGAAGAGAGGAGGGCACAGCAGAACAGAGGAAGGGAATTTCATTTTTTAACGAGCACATATAGAGGGTGAGTCTTTACACAATTCCCTGTCGACAGCAGCATTGAAGATTCCATTAAAATATTGCTTGAGGCAACATCACGATCCAGGACATGTAACAAAAAGCCCTGACGCATAAAGCGGCGTGATGGACACACAGCCACAGGCGGAGGTTACACTCAGATTTTCAATTCTACACAAAAAATGTCACGTTGAGTGAATTATGAAGTTTACTTCAGACAATATATTCATCATCATAACATGACGAGTGTAACCGCAGCCGCACAGAAGCTGCATGTGGACAATTCTGTTCTAATCACTCATGGAAAATACCACCAGACGTCACCACAGAAGAGACGAGAGAGCGTCATGCTTGACATAGCACAGAAATATGCTTCACAGCAGAAAGATGGTTTTCGTAGATGTGAGTTATTCCCCCGACACCTCCTTCACTCCCTTTCCACCATTTAATGAAACAAGGGAGGAAGGGGTTCGCTGTTGAGGAGACGAGGACGTGCAAAGTTGGAAAGGAGGGGGTGTAGAGTTGGTACGACAACACAAACGAAATTAGAGTGATATAAATATTCATTATAATGTTAAAAGCTATTTTCAGTTCATGTCAGGAACATTCAGTGCATTTTTTGCAACATAAGTCAACGAATATTTCCTGTATTTTGCAGGAGAATTTGGAAAACATCATGATATTTGATGTGAAAAGTACATGATTATAGTTTTAAAAAGTATTTGGAGTTGTTTACGATGAAGAAAGGTTTAAAACTCGATGAAGTAGAGGCCAAAATGGAGGAAAAACTGACGTTTGAGAAGAAAACACAAGCTAACAGGGTGTAGCAGGCAGGTGTCCGGTGATGGAGAATGGCGTACGGAGGAACGACTGGCGAGGCGAGAGAAGACACTACACGGACAGACAGACACTGGGACAGAAAGAGAGATAGAGACAAAGGGCGATGGGGCGTGGGCGAGGGGCACCCTGGGGTGGGGGAGGTCTACCATCTTTCTCTTCTGTGTGGTGAAGCTTGGATGGATTCCTCCTGCCAGACCTCCATTTACCGAGCCGCTTGAAGAAATTCTCCTCCTCGTCCCTGCCGTACTCTGGCCCCACAGCGCCCCCTTCTGACAGCTTTACTGCACTCGTAAACTTCACCTGAGACAAAGTAAACACGACACGCACAGAAAATACCCGCGGTGAAGACAAACAAGCACGAGCCAACACGCCAGCGTACGTCGAGACATAATCAAAATGTGCACGCCGTGTTAGCCTCTCTGACCTTTGAACTCTGTCGTATGAAGGAGAGTCGGTCGACTGAGCTGATGTCCAGCAGGTCCTCGACACCGTCAGTCAGTCCAGAGAGAGACGAACGCTTGAGCCAGTTACCTGGAGACACGTGAATTAAAAAGAAATGAAAGGAAGGAAGGTGCACACTTGGTTATGAAGGAAATACGTGCACACACACACACACACACACAAAGGGTTGTAGACGGATAAAAGGGCAAACAGGGGACACACATTCAGGGTAGTTACACTGAGGAACAAAGCTTTTGAATTTTTCTATCTTGATAAATCTTAAAGACCCTGGTGGAATGGTGTTTGAAATGATGTTCATGGAGGTGGCTGACAGATTGATGGAGAGAAGTCTGTGATGTGAAAACACAACTTAACCCGGGCGGGGAACACCGTGCACACTGGAGAGGTGACCGACACAAACAGACACAACATAAATACTGTATGAAGATGGTTCCACATCCACATACGTAAGACAGAGAGAGTGAGTGGAAGGCGAGCAGTCCGACGGCATGCTGAGGCACAGAGAGGAACACACAACAGACCAATGAGATGAAGAGAACTCGGCCCCGTGGCAGGAAGTCTTTCCAATGTCAGACAAACAAAAACACAGCATTGTTTGAATGCATTTCAAGGTGACAGTCAGGAAAGCCTCTGTAATGAGGTATGTTCATGGAAATACACACTGTTAACAGATCCCACACGAAAAGGAAAACGATGTAGAAGCTTCGTTAATTAAGAAACAAGGACAAACGACAGCTGTGTCCCAATTCAGGACCTGCAGACTTCAGAGGATGCATTTGAAGAGCGGCCGTGTCACAAAGCCGAGGATGAGTCCTCCGAAGGATACGGCACATGAATTAGAACACAGCTCAAGCACAGGTAAGAAAATTCAGACGACTTTAAAATACCAGGCTTTGTGCATTAAAAAGAACATCAGTCCTCAAAACGTTATCTACGTCCTCCGTCAAGGCTTTTTCACCACTTTAATCCAAAATGACCTGTTGGCTACTTCAGGTCTGATTCTAAAAAAAGGACAATTAAAGGTGAATCATTTTCAGGACACTTGGGGGTTGACTCGTCGTGTAATAAGGGACCTCACCTATGGGCAGCTTCAGCTTCTTGCGCAGTGAAATGCGACGGGATCTGGATCGAGAGCGCCGGTCGGTGGTGGTGCCGGAGTGGGCAGTGGTGCACTCTGACGTGTCCTGCTCCGACTGGCTGCTCGTGTCACTGGCGGCGCTCTGCGACTTGAACATCTTCCTCCAGAAATCCTTCCGGCCCAGCAGAGCACCCGGGATCTGTTCCTCGCTGGAGGCACAAGAGACGGAGAAAACAAAGAAAGGTCAGATTTGAACATTTGCACGAGGACACGGGATTAAATTCAGCTGAAGCTTGTATCTCTTTGTATAAATCAATGTTAAACACAGTGACGTGATCTTCATCGTAGCGGGACAGGAAGCGACAGTTTTCCCTGTTTTGAGCAGAGACTGCTGCACTCGACATAGATGGTGCTATATGCAGATGCTGTGAGGTGGACACTCACTGTTCGGGTGTCTGGGGGGGTCTACTGGAGATGTAGCTGCGACACTCATCTGCAGCACTGGACACCTGACCCTTCTCCCCGGACACACCCGCCTCTGACCTGCGCACACACACACCCCGACAGACAGACAAACCAGCTGAGCTCTGCTGATGCAGTCAAGCCCGCCCACCCATGTGACGACCCCGTCACGGCCTGCGGGGTTTGTTTAGTCAGCATCTTCCCAACGATTTCACTCGACAAGCGTCTTTGAGATGTTTTTAAATATGATTACTGTCTTTTCTATTTTGATCTATTGATGGAAATATTCCTAATTCCCAGTCGGATATTTGCATTTGTTTTACTTTATTCTTCCATGCTGGTGAAAATCGATAACTGCATTGATTA